CAGGGAGACAAGAAAATAAAGTGTACAACAATTTATTATTGGAAGGTTGATGAAGTCGAAGGGATCGATCTTTCAAATATTTGGTAGGTTGAGAATGATACACTTTTGAGAAGCGTTGAAATGGTTGTTCCCAAAGGATCGGAATGATATTTCGACACCAATATCTATTAACCAATAGAGCAGAATAAATTCCTTCTCCTTGATCCCGGATGCAATCAAAAATTTGTTGCATACATTCAACTGGAAGATCAGAAATTGTTTTTTTCGGCCGCTTAATGACGATTTGTTTACTTTGTTTTTTGGTAAAAAGTTTACAGGTAACCTTGAATAGTAGATAATAAGCTGGCATTTATGTGATGTTTAAAAAAAAAAAGAAAAAAAAAAGAAATAAAAGAAATAAAATGTGCTCAAAGGAAATGATTTTTTTTTTTTGTTTTTTAAAAAAAATTTTTTTTTTTTAATCAAATCACAGAAATTCATGTTTATATATTTATTTATTTGTTCTTATGAACGGAATGTATCAATACTAAAGGTAAATAATCATGTGATGTTTGGAATGAATAGTATCGGAACCGGCTATAAAACTAGTGGTATTTTACAAAAATTTCCTGAGAATAATTATGACAAACCCCTATTTTTGGGAAAGATTTATTCTTAGTTGGCCAATAACAAATACGTCAAATGTCATCACAAAATATAAGGTTATTTCATTTTTTACATTACGCGGTAGTCCTTTGTTGGATAGATTTTGAGAATTCCTTCAATCTTCACAACAATAACAAGTTCAATATATGATTTCACGAGGTTACTTTATCAATTACATATTTATTTTAACAAAAGATAGTCCGCGACTCTAAAATAAAACAATCATTTGGGAATTCATCCCCCCAAAAATAGTGCATTAGAGACCTATAAATAGAAACATTCCAACATCCCGGAAAGAATTAACTTATCTATAAATAGTCACAACTTTTCATAATACAAAAAGCAGTTGATCTTTCCATTTGTTTGTTGCTGTTGTGGCTGTACTTTCCATGGTAACAATCCAATTAATTACCTTTTAAAGTTAATCTCTAACATGCGATGGGTCAAACCAATAAAATTTAAGAAACGAACATATTTATGTAAATTTTTTTGGTGAAGATGTCTTTTTGGTAATTGGTGATAAATTTTTTTGTCATATGATTGAATGATGATAATTAAAAATTATACCAAATTTGGTTACTTTTGTTTTCTGAAAAATTAGAACACATTCTCACGCGTCTTTTTAAATGGATCCTTTGGGGTTAGAAAAAAAGAGATATCTAATCTCAGCTCTGATGATAATTTACTGGTTTAGAAATCTCAATATATATTTGTCTTTTCTTTTTTTTTCTTGTTATTATTGATGGAAACTACCCTCCAATTTATAGTTTAATATTGCGTTTCCACGAACGTATCCACCATTGTTAAAACTTTTAATACTATTTATAGAAAATTTTCTAAATTTTCTAATATGGATCTTTTTTTCTCAAACAAGCAAAAAAAAAATTCTTAATTTGCTCCATCATTAAACCAAATTCGTACTAACAGGAAAAGACAAAAAAAAAAATTCTTAATTTGCTCCATCATTAACCAAATTCGTACTAACAGGAAAGACAAAAAAAAAAGGATTTGGTTCGGTTACAAAGAATAAGGCTTGTTTTGTTTACAATACATATATATATATTAATTAATTAATAGTGGCTTCTTGTGATGTTAATTATTTATTTAAAAATTTTGTTCATAATTACATCACCAATGAGAAGAAAGAAGCTTAGCATAGTCAACGGATGGTCTCACATGATTTAGCGAGGGAAGCTTTTTTTTATCACAAATAATTGATCAATCCAGTTTCCTATTCAGCTTAGTCACCTAGCCAATGGCTTGTGTTTATCCTTTAAACATGAGACTTTAAACAATTCAAGAGACTGGCTAAGCAACTTTGTTTTCTTGTCTCCTTTTGAATTGATTTAATGTTTTAAAAGTTCTAACCACAATGTAAAATTACTGTGGAAAGTTTCAAAACCTCGAATCTTCTAGAACAAACATAAACAACTTTATCTACCTTTTTTGCTTTCACAAGTAACAGGAAACGCGAAAGCGACTGACCAATTTCCATCATAAATTCTAATCTAAAAATAAATACTAAATCGTCCTTTAGAGGAAAATCTCATCAAACAAGTTTTGAATAGAACTGATTTACGCGTATCGTGAACGAGATTCCAATCTTGGTTAGGTCATTTAATTAAATGTACATATTGACATTATCATAAAGACGAATCTTCTGTATTTTTACGTACAGTAATCCTTTAGTAACGATGATTAATTAATTTTCTAATCGTATTCATAACTTTGTGAATAAATTTAGCAACGATCGGCTCTTGCACTATTTATAATCTTTTTAAGCAGTACCAAACTATTTATATTCATAATACAGTTAAAAACCAAGAAAAAGGATCAATGTTACTAAATATTCATTTCATTTTTTATTTTGATTGGTTCTTTACGAAATAAATATTTTTTTTTTTAAAAAAAAAGATACAACTATATAAAAAGTTTTTAATGTTCTGAATTAGCTTCAAAAGAAACGGGGCATAAAACCTTATTTTCGATTTACAGTACAAATTGCGTAATTAGATATCGATGACAGATCGTCGTCAATTGAACGATGAGGTTTAAAGTTCTGAAAATCTTTGAGATGCATACATATTATTTAAATATGATGAGCAAAGTTTACTCAGTAAATTCTAAAAATATTCGTCAAGACTTACATAATTTATAAGTGAATGGTAAAAAAAAAAAATTTATTTCCTAAATTTGGTCTAATTCAAAATTCCAAAATTCCAAATTAAGATTGATTAATATGATGATAACTTTACTTGACCAATAGCTTCTCGTGTAAATATTTGATTTTTTTCATATTTTCGGAACCCAACATTACAATTCCATTTTTCATTGTTTATACATATAAAATGTCTTTGCACCCGTACATGCATTCAAGGAAAAGCTGCAAGTTTAATAATTATAAAAGAAATAAACACATTTACCAATTATGGTTTATAATCAACGTAAATATAAAAAAGGGAAGGACGTAATTAAATGTCCGATTAATTGGATACTTAAGATTCGATAAAAATATTTGAATAATGACATCTTGATTGAACCAATTTCTTCAACACGTTGAAAAAAAAAAAGTGTTTTTTAACAAGGGATTCGTAATAAGCACGTGATATTATATTTTTGTCCATTCGGCCTGTATTAATGATCAATTCCGGTCAAAGGCTGAAAAAAACAAATAAATTGGTAAAATTTCATATAGATCAGAGAGATCTTATACGAAAAAAGTTCGTACGCTTGAGAAAAGTAGTTTCATGTGAAGATTGAATCTCCTATAAAATCATGAAATCCAAACAACGCCCTCTCTCCAAAACTGTAATGATTTTTTTCCTAAACTATCTCAAGAAAAAAAAAACACCTACATTTAATATTTGCGAAAAAAAAAAAAACCAAAAGATTTCTTTTTTCACATTTTCAATCATTCTTTACAATTGATCGAAACCAGATGAAAAAAAAGGATAGATATTAATTAATTAGTACATAATCTTAAGATTTAGATTAGAATTGTTTCGGATCTACAATAGAATTTTATTGAATTGTTTGTGGCGAAAGTTACGACAAAAAAAAAAAAAAAAGATTATTTTTTTCTTCATTGTACTTTTTTTTTTTCTTTTTTTGTGTGCTTCTTTTTGATAATATACGATTGCATTTTTCAACTTTCATAAAACTCCCTGTGCTAAAATTATTATAACCGAGAGAGGCGCAGCAACGCATTTTAATTATTGGTTGATAATTCCCAAATCGAAAAATGAAGAACAATAGGTTCATTATGCCGCCTTCTATTTCAGTTGGCAAAGTTGTACCAATGGTGCATGATGTAATAATAATAAATAATAATGCAGTATCCGTTCGATACAAATAATAATAATAAGAAAAAAATAATAAGAAAAGCAAATGACGAACCAAAAGCGAGGAATGGTTTATACTCGCAGGAAATGAAGTAAGTTGGTTGAGGCTTTTTTCTACACGTAAGCTTTTAATTGTTGTTCTATTTTGTTCTCTCAATTAAAGATTTTTTTTTAAAAAAAAAAAATTTACCGTGCGATCGGTTTTTTTTATATATATGATTTAATCCATTGTTTAAATTCTATTAAACGAGTAAAATTGACAATTTATTCAATTGTCTTCAATTTTTAGTGTAATGGGGCCGCATTAGTTTCGTACGACATGCAAGCGCAGTTACGAGTATTCATCATTCGTCATATAAATAAGTCGTCTTAACCAAAATATGGGACAATTTTCCGTTTTTTCGTCGTTATTCGCTTCAGACAACTTTTTTTAATTCACCTGCTTTTTTATCTTTTTTCAAATTCATACATATACAATATATCATATATATATATATATATATATATATATTTCGCATATAAAAAATGCGTAATTTTCTTTGTAATTTTTTCAATCTATTAAATAAAACGGAAAAGGTCACACCACCGATATTACCAGCCGAAATCATACAACAAATATTTAAATATGTACAAGAGGATAATTCCTTATATCCATCTCTTTTGGTAAATCGACAATGGTGTGATAATGCAGCTCCACTCTTATGGAAAAACCCATTTAGACAACTACCTAAAAAGAATTGTATCAAATTAATTCGAACATATTTATTATGTTTGAATGAGGAAGAAAATTGTTTGTTGGATTTTAATTTAAAACCATACTTGAACATAATGAACCTTATTCCGAGGAAAACTCTCTTCGTATATCCTTACTTTTTGAATGAGATATCATTCAAAGATTTGGAGAGGGTCGTTACTTACACGGTGAATACATGGTGTGATAGAGAAACGAAGAAAGAGCACAAACCGATCATGATCCAGATCGTCATTTCGATATTATTCCAATTATTCATTAGGATGTCGGCGAATTTAAGGGTTTTCATTTTAAATAAGCAAAGCAACAGTGATGTGGATATTCCTGAATTGATCACATTTTCAAATTTTCAATCATTATTCTCAAAAATATTAAAACTCAAGGTCTTGTTCACACCCTTCTCGCAAAATGTCATGCAACTTTTAGGAAATTTTTCAACAAATCTTAATTGTCTAGATTTTAAATTACACACTTCAAATTACACACCAGAGGTAACTCAATTACTTTCGATGATAATCAAATCTCAAAAACAACTTGGTGAATTCACAATCGCAAATGTACCAAGTACTTTGAATGGTTTAGATTCCATCTTTTCTTCCTTGCATTCTCATAAAAAATCTTTAAATTCCTTAAAACTTAATTTCGTTCACTTAACCGAACCTTCCATCAACATTATAAATCAATTTAATAAATTACATACACTTTGTTTATATTGTTGTGGAGGTTTGTCAAATTCTATCATGAAAAGTAATTTTCCTCTTTTAAAAACTTTACAATTATCTTTATTCTTTTCTTCAGATGTTAATTTGCAAATACTTGAAAAATATGGCAAATCCTTAAATCAAGTTGGTTTTAGTTTCTCGGATTTTGAATTGGCTTTAATTAATAATGTTAATAACAATAATAATAATAATAATAGCACAAAGATATTATCTTATTGTCCAAATATTACTGAACTATCTGTTTTGTTTTTTATGAATCAATCATCCACTTGTGATCATGATCTGATTAACAATGAAATGAATAAATGGCAATTAAAAATTGATGAATTACATTCATCAAAGAAATTGGATTTATTATGGATTGATAATACAAGAGAGTCTTACTATTATTAACAGCAAAGCATTGGGAGGGGGATGGAATCTCATTGTGTATATTTTAGTAAATAGATTAGAGGGGAAAAAAAAAAAAAAAGCAAAAAACTTCGTGTATATTAAAGTTCATTTGTATGTATGTATCTATGTCTATATATATATAAATAAAATAAATAAAAAGATTTTTTTAAAAAAAAAGAGAAATTGATGAATTTTATCCATATTTGGATCCGTAAAATGATAACTGCGGGATTTGCTGATCAATTTAACCAAATGGGTAAATAACACGAACAGATTTTTTTTTTCTCGATCACCATTTTTCTCGAGAATTTTCTCTCGTAATGTCAATCACTGACGTTAATTTCTCGGTCGAAAAACTTATACAACATTTAACCAATTTAGTGGTCTGTAGATCTTTTTTATTTCCCTTCTCAATCAATTGATTTCTTTAATAAATTTAATTAATATCAAACTAAATTTGAATACAGCCAAATTCAGAGAATTACAGGAAGTGTGTAAATAACGTCCATTCAACTTTTAAATATGGCAAATTTGGAAGTGCCGGTCAGAAAGATATTTCACGAAGATACAATGGGTACGTGTAACTTTGATCTTTGGATTTTATTATAATTCGTTTCATAATAATCATTGTTCTTCATTCTTTCAGTTTGATTGAAAAGTTTCTATTACACGCACAAGAAGAAAAGGCCGACCATTTAAAAAAAATCTTTACTTCCTACATAAATCGTTCAATTCATGAAGCTTCTATTCCCGTGAGTTAGTTAATTTCCACAGTACCTTTATTTTTGTAAAAAAAAAAATAATAATAATCTGATTTAAAGTTTATTCTAAATCATTATTTATAGATACATACGCGTTATGATATGCTGTATCTTTTGCTAAATTTATCAGAATCACCTCTTCAAGTCCCATTCAGCCTTGCCCTTCCGAAATCAAGGTCATCAAAACCTCAGTTAACGGTTGAAGATATATTTCGTGAAGAACCATTGGAAGGTTCACATTGGGAAAAAAAATCGAGCTACACTGATGATGATGATGAATATGATGATGATTGGGATTTTGATATCAAGACATGGATCAGAGAAAGGTTAGGTGATCGGGCTATTAACTTACAAAACTCTAGAAGAACTGTAAGAATTAATGAATTTCATGATTTAGATTTGTGTGATAATATGTTTTGATGCCAAATCTTATTCATGACATTTTTATCTGTTGATCACAGTCAATACAAAAGAACGTACCAAATTCCGAGCAACAGAATGAAAAGGTCGACGTTTTAGAATTTGATATAAACCACGAAATCATTCGAGAATTGGAATCGAAACAATATTGGAGGAGCGATTTTCGTTATATTCCTGAAGGTTTTAACCCTTCTCATCATAATTCAACAATAATGCATTTAAATCACGAAAATATTAAAAAAGTTTTCTACTTTTAATAGAAACAAAGTTTAATTCCGCCGATGCTTGTACCCTGGGTAAGATTGATCTTATAATTACGCATGCTAATTACCGTTGTCGTTGTTGTTTGATTGATTGCTAAAGGTTGGAATGGAAATCACTTATATTCTTTCCAATACAAAAGCTCCTGCGCTTGCCGAGTACAAAAGTCGGGACGAACGTTATCTATTTCACGATCCAACTCGGGTGGAATATCTAACAGAACTCGATGCAATACGTGAAGTTTTGTTCATGTTATCGGGAAGGCCGAGTTATTTATTTCATCAGCAGGGAAATGGAAAATTTCAGGTACGAAACTTTCATGATTTCATCATCGTTGATCAATTTATAATTATACTTATAATGTGTATGAAATAGATTAAAAGTAATATAACGTTGACGCATTTGTCCGAGGGTGGATTTATGGCTTTGTTGGAATTTTTTTGCGATTATGGAAATAAATTGTTTAAGTTGAGAATGATTGCTTCAAAGTAAGAATCAAATAATCGGTATAGTAACAAACAAGCTTTGATACTAAATTGTATCATTCATATACAGAATATGTAGTGAACCTTGCTCTTTATATGGACAAACAGCGCAGGCATTTTCTGCTTCTATTTTGAAGATGGTTTGGAAATTTGACAAACTGTTGGCAGATTTCGAATTGGAATATCAGGTTGATCGTATAAAATCTCGAGGTTTGGATTGGTTTTATTATAATATCAATAACCAATTTTATAATTCGTGTTAATCCTTACCTTATTTATTTTAACCTTTGAATCGTTAAGTTCAGGATACATATATTTCTCTTTTGCATCTAAGAAGTGAGCTTATGAACCGGTTATATGAATTCACGATCATATATAACTTTGTTGAGAAATCAAGTTTAAACGGTACTTACTTTGTTATTTTCTAATTAAGTGATCAATTGTTGAAACTAATTCTTTCTCTTATTTTAGACATACCAGAACTTTGCCATAAAGAAAATACTTCTAAACAGTCCAGGGATCTATTAATAACACCATCGAAAATTGCTTATGATATTCTTTCCGGATTGTATAATGAGATTTCTACGCATCAAACCGTTGGAAATCATTCGATTTTCCTAATGCTTGGAAAACACCTTGACAATTCGTTTGTTCCTTTTATTCGTATGATGAATGACTGGATTTGCAAGGGGACATTTCATGATCCCTCAAATGAATTTTTCATCGTTAGGTTTGTGGTTTAAATTTACATGCATAACAAAATCAAATTTTGTATATATAATTGACTCGTATCTCATTCATAGAACAAGTGTAATTCAAAATTCATCACAGTATTGGAAAGAAATGTATAAGATCCGAGAAGTTTTGTCATTTGATGGTTCAACTTCGTCACTGTTGCTATTTCCAACTTTCTTGGAACCTTTCATAGGGCGTATTTTGTTTTCCGGTAAAGCAAAGAATTTATTAATGTCTTTGAAGCTTGAAGAGGTACTTACGTGTTAGACGTTCTTAATTGGATCAATTTTAATCATCATAATCGTATATTGAATATCATTACAAAATTATGTCTTAGAAAGAAGTAATGTTTCGAATGACTTTTCAACATCATCCGGAGGAATTTGATTTTGATACAAAATCCTTGCAGTTATTTGATTTGAGCAAACCGGACGATGAGCTTGGACCGTTAAATAAACCTGCTGGAAAAGATTTCATGTCAGCTCTTTTTCCTCTTTGGAATAAATCAAAAATACAAACAGAAGAAGATATGGGAACAAAGTCACTATCGCAGAGTTACATTGGTGATGATCAACATCAAAATATAGATCCAATGATAAATTTCCAACCTTTCACCGAACGATTCAGAGAAAAGTTTGAAGTTTATCTTCATCCAAGATATACGCGCATAGGACAACAGCTCTATGGTGCCTTAGTTGAGCGGTGTCATCTTTGGAGACATTTAAGAGCGCTTGCAGGAATATATTTTATGCAACAAGGCGAATCAATGCATCTATTAACCGATGTTTTGTTTGATAGGGTTTGATATATTATTTGATAATGTTATTCCTGTGAGTGATCATTAGTGATCGGAAATTTAATAAGTAGTAATTATTTTATTGTTTAGATAGATAAGAAACAAATGTGGTACGACTCTTATGTTCTGAATGAAGTAGTTTTAAACACCATCAAGAACTTCAAATGGTTAGATAAGAGTTCAGTCATTGTTTGGGTAAATGACGAGGCAGGCAAAAAACCAAATATAAAAACAGTGAGAGTATTTGAAAAAATTGCTTTTGAGTATCGAGTAAGTTTCATATTGTTGAATTGGTTTGTTATTTTAATTTCCCCCGACTAAATTTATCCATTTAAATTCAGCTACCTTGGCCACTTGACAATATAATTCGTAGCAATACGTTAACGTCATACAAACGAATAATTGTGTTTTTGTTGCAAGTTAAAAGGGCGAAATATCTTTTAGAAAGGTTGTCCTTTTCTCGAAATCAAGACAACTCTCAAGCCATGGCTCTATTTTATGGTGTAAGAATGAAGTTAATATGGTTCTTAAATACAATATGGGATTACGCCATGAGAACCGTGAGTACGCTTTGCATTTATATCGATTTGTAATGATGATACTATTGTTTATCATGAAATTTTTTTCAGATACTACTATCAGAAACAGAAAACTTTTATAAGAAGCTGGAATTAGTGTTTGATATCGATGAGATGATTTCTTTACACGGGAATTATATTCGCACCGTTCACGATAGGTGTCTGTTGAATGAAAATGTAGGTCATCACTTTATATTACATGAATAATTTCTCTTCAGGTTTCTAAAAATCATTTTATCTATAGGCAACTCCGATGCACAAATCCATATTGGATGTTTTGGATTTAATAATACAGTTTAGTATACTTTATACAAGATATCGTGGTGAAAATGTTTCCTTTTATGATCATTCTCGGGACGATAAATCAAGAAGGTTCATGGATGATAATTCAGATTCAGACTCGGATTCATTCTTAATCGATGATGATGATGATCAACTGGATAAAGAAGGAGAAAATGGATTTGAATCGATTGTACCACATCTAGTAGATTACGATGATTTTCTTAATGGATTATGCAGGATTGATAAAGAATTTAATAGACACAAAGAATTTATTAGTAATTCAATACAAGCGATTGCTAAAGTAGGAGGATTTTGGTGGTTTGATGCTTTAGCATTAGCTTTAGGCTGAGAAATTATAATGTTAAATTGATTTGATCAATTGAAATTGCAATTAACCAAAAAAATTAAACTTTATATACATGATTAATTTTGCGTAGTTCAAAAAAAAAAAAAAAAAAAAAAAAAAAAAAATTTATAACTTTTGAATTGATCAACATCCGTACTTAATCTGATAACCTACTTTTTCCCAGACGAACAAATAATATAATAAAATTTAGGAACAAGTTCATTTTTGAGAAACATGTAAAACTAAAAAAATTATTGTACTACCACAAATGTAGGAATCCATAATGAATAATGATAATTGATTCGACAGAATTAAGTAAAATAATATGTATTATTAAAAATTAAATAATGACAATAAACTATAAAATAATACACTAAAATCATGAATTACTAAGATTTATAATTAGTATTGATATTTTGTAACGGTTTACATGAGATATTTGACTTTTGTAGCATTAATTCATTTGAAAATGAGATAGCTTTACTTTAATTTTAAATAAAACTTATCATAACAGTTTGCGTTATAAGAAATTGGGATTTTACATAAGGTAATAAATAACATTCTTCTATCATTACTGCGGAATGATAAATTTTCTAGTGATTTAGAAATTAATAATATAGAAAGACTTTATTTTATAATTCTATTATTTCGAATGGCATATTTGTTTAAAGATTAATAGAAATTAAGAAAAAATAATTAATAAAAAGTTTAGGATTCAATAACCTTTTTTTTTATAAAGCATGATTTTGTGAGATTAATAACTAATAAATTCTCTGATTAATCCTGACTATTCATTCATTTCTATCTTTCAAAAAGTGAATTTAATTGACCTTCCGCAAAATATTTGTTTTTTTTCCATTAATATTCATTAATGCCACTTAGACTTCTTCCATCCTTGGTGTTTCCTTATATACATTTCATTGCTAATACCATAATGGTAAAATAACTCACCAGGTGATATGACTTTATGATACAGTATCTCAAATATTGTGGGTTCCACCACCACTATCACCATCTCCTTCTCCTCTTTTATTATACAAAATAGTTACATTTATGTATGATAATTTCAATCATAAACATTTATCAGCTCAACAATTTTAATTTTAATCTCTTCTTAAACTCAAGATTTTACATACTTATAAATAGAATTTCATGAAGCAATACCTATATGAGATGCTTAACCATATGCAATTTAAGCTCAAAATGAAGTTACCTATCAAAAAAATGAATTTAAAAATAAAAAACATTATCTTTATTTTCAAAGAAAAAAGGTATAATATAAAAAGAATATTTGATAGTAAAGATGAGAACTGTAATTAATATATTACAACTTTTAATGTTGCAACGTATATTGCAATAATTTTTAATCTATATATATTAGATAACAGAAACTGTTAGAAAATCTGAAATGAAAAACTCCTAATACTTAAGTTTGTGGTTATGGGATTATTTCGTAATTGTACAATAATTATAACTAATAACAGATAGACTAAAATATTGAACGGGGTAATACAGGTTATATAAGTCATACAGCATAGAATTATATAGTTCTTTGCTACATTCTGGACTAATTACAACTTATAATGTTGCAACATATATTACAACAATTTGTAAATTTGAAATTAATTGCTACACTATTTTTATTTGATAGTTATATAAACATAATACAATACAAGTATATTGTTATCAATATTAAGCATTTGATAATATTTTATTATATTCATTCAAATAGGATAATTAGCAAATGATTACTATTCATTTTCAATATTATCATGAATCACTTAAGTTCTATATTCATCTTCTCTAAAAATAGTGCAGCAATTAATTTTTATAACTTATTACAACATACAGTCAAACCTTGATATAGCAAACCCTTAATATAGCGAATTTTTAAATCAAATATATTAAAATTACCTTTACTATAGTGAACTAGCCAATTAAATTCTTTAAAAAATTCGTTATAAGCTTATAACGAAGTTGATATCCAGATCCTAGAATTCGTTATATCAAGAGTTCACTGTAAGCTAAAATTAATTGAAACACATGTTATAACAGTATAAGTTACAACATATATAGTATACATGAAGTCGAAATAGATCATTTCAGATATCCAAAATGATCGAAATAGTCAAAATGATTTTGACTATTAGAGGTCAAAAGTCAAATTGGTTGAAATAACATCATATCATATGATTTTTATATATAGAAAAAATAAAAAAAACAAAATATGTACGATCTTGATCAATATCACTCTGATTCGTATTATACAACTACTATTCGATTTTTTGTGACTAGAAGAATCTAATAAGCTAATCTTCATTGATTTCCGATCATCTTATTTTGATAATCGCAATTGTATTATCGGCCAAAATTTTAAATCATTAAATTCTACTTTAAAATAAAGGAGTCTGAATTTCAAAATTCAATCGCAAATATCTCAAGATTAACTAATCCTAAATCAATAAATGTTTGTTCATTAGATTCAACTAATCACGGGAATCGAATGGTAATTGTTTTATACGAATCAGAACGATATTAACTGAGATCGTATATATTTTTTTTTATTTTTCTATATATAAATTATCATGTGATATGATGTCATTTCGACTATTTCAACTTTTTATTTCGATTTTGACTTCCAAAGTTGAAACATTTCGACTTTTGGGTTTTTATTTCAACTTCATATATAATATATAGGTTAAAATTAATTGCAACATATATTGTAATATTAAAAGTTGCAACATATTAATTACAGTTCTCATCTTTAGTCTTATTCATAATAAAAATATCATTAAATTAACAAATTATAAAGACAAAAATCCTCTTCTCTTTCTATTGCATTATAAACATTATAAAAAATTATAATTGATCAAATTTGAAAGGAAAGGTTTTAATAGATTCAAAGTTAATATTTAACAAAAAATTAAATTATTGAACATTTATTTGAATATATGATATGTTTGGCTTTTTCTATAAGTTTTTTAAAATATAAATGTTATTAATTTTATTTCTTATCTTATAAAAGGTAAAAATATTAAAAATTATAATAATATTAATGTTGAAAATTATGATAATATCTAAATCACTAAAAATCTTAATGTTGTTACTATTGATTCTAATATTCATACTGGTCGGTCTTCATTCAAAGATGTGGTTGATTTGGTAATTTAATTATTAATCATATAATCTGTTTGTCTTTATCTCTAGATGATCCTATTTCTCAATATATTATTTTTTTTATTTTTTTATGATACTTAATTATTTATATTTTGTAAAACTACTTGTGTTCCTTCTAAAAAGAGAAATTCAATGAAAAGAGCTTAGGCTCATTTACAGCTTCACATCCAAAACCTTATTAATGAATGTCATAAGAAAGTTGCCTTGTGGTTTATTATAAGCTTTGATGTCATTATTATACTCCCTTTTAATGTTTCTGCTATGTCTTGCCATCTTAATAGAAAAATAAATTCAAAATTAGTTCGTAAGATGCTTACCTAGGCTCATAGCCAATTTCGTAATCATCTTGTTTGAGGAATTAGATAAAAAGGTCATCATTCAAAATGAAGCATATATTTTCATTTTTTCATTCTTTTTTAATATCTATTTGTTTTTAAGCAGTTGTTGTGGATTTATTAAATATAATCTGGGTGGCAACAAAGTGTTTAAATGTAACAAATGTAGAGTAGTAATAGATAGGGATATTAATGGTGCTCGGGGAATTTTTCTCCGGACTTTGGGCTGTTTGTATAGTGAATCCACTATATGCACGCACTAATTGAATGTTTTATATATAGTAATTGACTATAGTTGACTATTTATATATATTAATGATCGATTCAATCCAACGATATCACTACATCAGAGATGATCATTACGAATGTTGAAACAATGATTGAATTGTGTGGTAATTAGTAATAATAGATTACGATTATTTAATAAATATGAATATTAACAATATTTTAATTATAGTAATCGTTGAAAAAAAAAGAAATTAAATACAAAATCATCTCGTCAATCAGAAACGAGAAAGTACGGATACAAAATAGAATCATATAATAAGCAATCACTCCGTTGTTTTGGTCTTCAGGTGGATAAATAGTAAAATAATTTGTCCATTAGGCAACTCATTTAGTTAATTTAAGAGTTATAATTATAGGTGCTTAATAATTTAGATTAAAAAAAATTTTTTTTCCAAATAAATTAACTTAGGTAATACATTAACAAATAAGATCGATCCTTCTGGTATCAAAATATACTATTTTCCTATATTTAGTTAAATTGCTTGACGCAGATCCTTCAGTTCAAAATTTATTAAAGGACATAAAAAGGTAATCGAATAAAAATGCAAAATTTTTTTATTTCATTGTATCTTTTCTCAATGATCTAATTTCAGATTCCTGCCTTTCGTATGTACGATGCAAGAATTCCTGCTTTTCTATATACCTATAAGAAAGAAAAATAAATTAATAATCGTAAAATCATTTTAAGTATGGTTATTTGGATTAATCACTTACCCGTTCTTATTATGGTATTTTAATTCATCAACAATTTGTTCTTGTTCAACGTATTTTTTCCAATCCATTTTTGATTTCTCCAAAGTATTTAATTTTGTTGGTTTCTTTTTAAGTGAAGAAGCGAGTTGTTCAAGACTTACTTTAGATTTGATAAATTTATCAACGTTACCACCAGTACCACTCTTCGAAATAGCTAAATTTAAAGGTGATTTCATTTTTTGAAAATTTGATGGTGATTTGACAGTAGTTTGTGACGTTTGTAAAATAGAACTTGATTGTCCGTTGTTGGTTTCTGATGTCTCTTGTTCTTCTAGAAATTCTTGTGCTTCTTCTGAATCTTCAGGAACTTGTTTATGTTCTCTGTTATAAAAAAATATATATATATATATATTATATATGCCAAAAAGAATGTATTTCTTTTTTTATGTGTAAACTTACGATATAATATCACCAGCAAATTTATAAGTTTTTGTTATGGTAATCATCTTTGTTGGTTTCGGAACTTTAGTTAAATTGGTTAAAGGAAACTAGTGAGAATACATAATAAATAAAAGTTAATGAATCATTCCAATAATATAAAAAAAAATGAAAATGAAAATAGACCTTTCGTTTCTCCGTATAATTTTTTTCCACAGGGTTGTCATTTGAAAGAGTTTTATTATCCATCAAATTATTATTGGGCTTTGATGGTATAGGAGGATATTCATCATCATCTGCGTTCAATTCAGCCCATAAAGCATCGATCTTATTTTTACGTTCTTCATCAATTGTATTTGATTCTTTGGCGATTTTTTCTTCAAACCTAAATTAATAATTTATTAACTTTAATGTTAAAAAAAAACTTTTTTTTTTTTACTCACTTTTGTTTCTTAATATTATTATAAGTTTCGATATCCGCTTCTATTTTTTTGCGTTTACTACGAGTCATCAAATTTGTTTCATCATCATCAAGGTCCTTTTCGCCTTGTGCTACTTCTACACCTTCGGTTTCATCTTCGCTATCTATTTCATCAGCTTTTTTTTTTTTTTTTTTTATAGAAAAGTTAAAATCGTTTTAGGCGCAAGAAAAAGTGGAAATTTTTTTTAAAAAATTACCATTGAGAACATAATCAGGATCGTTTGATGAATCCGAACTATAACCTTCTTGAAGTTCATTTGTATTCATGATGAATAATATAATATTATTGTACAATATTAAAATTAGATAGTATAAATTTTTTTTTTTATAAATTATTAATTTATAAATAAAAAAGAAAAAGGAAAGGGAAGGGATATCAATTTCATTTAATTAATTTGTTTTGTTTATTTAAGCAGATTTTTTTTTAATTCTGCTAAAATCCGTTTACGCCAAATTATTTATTGTCCCGTGAGGAATTTACACGTGATTTGTCAGATGGACGTTTGGTTCCAAGTATTCGGGAAACCCTAAATATTATAAGGTTACAATGTAGAATGGCGTAATCTTTATTTTAAAGTTTCATTATTATTACAAGATGATCAGTTAACCAAACATTTAACCGTTTAAAAACAAGCCTTTAATTTTTTCTCCTTCCATTAACTAACTATTTTTACTCTGTATATTCTTTTAAAAAATATTTTTTTAATTAATTAATATACAGTATATAAAACTTGTATTTTTACCAAAAATTGAATATTAAAATAAAACCTATCTTGTACAAACTATAATATAATACCTTTATTTTCCGACTTTACAATTAGAATTAAACAATTTACATCAAATTTTTCATATAATTGATGTTATAATTGGAATTTTATTTAGAATTCCAATTTCTTTTTTATTTCTAATGGTTTTTCTTTCAATTTAGAAGGAAATTTACTTACTAATTCAAGTTAGTTTTAGATATATTAAAAATTAGTTTATAATAAAATTGTAATATTTTTAAGAAAAATCCAAAAAAAATTAGTAACTTTTTGCATTAATTTAATTCAAAATTTTGAATATATTTTAATAAAAGTATTTTTTTATTAAAGCTAAAATTTTTAATTTTTATTTATTTTTATATTTTTAAGTTGATAAAAATTATAGTTATATAAAAAAAAAGTTGCTTAATATAATACATAAATTTTTTATATATCTTAATTTTAATAGATTAAGATTTATAATAATTAATAAGATGTAATTAATATTTCTTATTGAAAAGTATATACATTATGATATAACTTACATTATAAGGATAAAGTTTATTTAATAATTATTTATTATTTTATGTATTTTTTAATAAGATAATATTAATATATTTTTATATTTATATAATATTCTAAAAATTATTTATACATTAGTATTTTATATTTTTTTATTATAAGAAATTAATATTAGCATTTAGGAGTTTTGTATAGAAAGATATAATATTCTAAAATAATATTTTTTAAATTAATATTAAATTTTAACTTATTTTATTAAAAAAAAAGTCATATTTAAATTATAAAGTAAAATTTTAAATTTTTTAGCCTTTCTATTGTAAAGTATTAATTTGTTTTAATTATTAAGTAATAGGTACTATTAGAATGTCTGAAGCGTTAATTCACAATGAGTATAATCAGATATATGTGTCACTGCAAAAACCAAATTTATTTAATGTAATACTAATAAAATATAACACAAATAAAGTAAAGATAAATGTAACACTAAAAATAAAGATAAATTTAACACTATATAAAGTACAAGATAATCAGGACCTTTTTTTTATTTTTTCACAAAAAAAAAAAGTTAACAATTATTTTGAGATATCATAAAGATCAAATGATTCTCTTCGGCTATTCTTTTATGTAATCTCTTACAATTTCTAATTCAGTGAAGTATTTCAAGTGAAAATAGGCTGAAAAGTATATTTTTAAGAGTAGAAAACTGAAATATTTTTACAAACAAGAGATCAACAGCAAATTCTTTTTTTCTAAGATCTATCACAGCCTTTTCTAATGTTAAGTCCTAACTCTTATGCATTATAATTATTCACATTAAATAAACCAGAATCTGCAAATAGGAATAAGGACCTTTTTCCCTTCCTAAGTATGCCTAATCAGTATAATTAGAATGGGTTTTTCTCATTAGCAGTCAAGATAGTAGGGTCAAACATTTTTGTTTAAATTTTTACTTTTAGAGGTTACAAAATTGTCAATTAGTTTAGCAAAGTTTTTATTTTATACGAAATAAAAGTTCTTGATTCTGAAAAACCACTACTAACACCACCTATTTTCCTGTCAATACTACATGTTATTCTAAAAAAAATTAAGTAAAATTTACTTTTACACATTGTAAAGACAAGTAAAATTTAAATATACATTCTATAAAAAAAATTTACTTTTATAGATTTTAAAGACATGTAAAATTTAAATATACATTCTAAAAAAAATTAATTAAATAAAGTTTACTTTTACAAATTTTGAAAACAAGTAAAATTTAAATATACATCAGATAGCATTAGATGACATCAATAAAATTTATTTTTATGATAAGCAAAATTTAGATCAGTAAATGTGACAGAATAATAATATATCTTATTGGCTGATCACATGTGCGAACAGAAGGACAGACATAAACTTGCATCATATAGAGTCCAACTGTAAATGTTCAAAGCGTAATTGAGGACAAATAAAAAAATTATATATTTTAATATATACATATTATTAATATTATCATTATATATATAATTTATCTTTAGAATATTTTACCCAGGCTCTATTGAATTCTGCTAAGTTTGCCTCAGCTTTGTATCTTCGATTTATTAGTTAAAGGGCTACCTTTTCTTGTAATAATATATGGTTACACCTTTCTTACCATATTTGGTGGGTTAATAAGCAGATTATTTTGTAGATTTAAATAATTTGCCGGAAATTTATTTCTCGAGCTTTATATAATATATATTTTAGTATTACTTTAATAAATATATTCCTAAAATATATATATTATATTTCTAATATAACTAAATTGATTAATAGTTAAAATATGATTAATACAAAAATTATATTGTTTTTATATAAATTATAAATGCAATACATTCTTATTATCTTTTAATGATTTTACTTTTAAATTTAAAAGCAATTTTACTTTTTAATTAAAATTATTTTAAAATTATTTTATTAATATAATAATAATTTTATAAATTTTATAATGTTTTCTATATAAAATCCAAAAAAAAAATGCTATTAATTAATAATATAATAAGTAATAAATTATTATAAAAATAATCTAATTATTTAAATCAGAATATCTAACTATCTATTAATCTTAGAAATATAAAAATACCAAAAATACCACTATTTAATACTTTTTTATAATGTTAAATGAATATCTTTCGACCTAATGATTACATTTCGATGGAAATACGATCATTAGAACCGTCTCATCGAGAGCTTTCCAACGAATATA